GGCAAATGAATCCAACATTAGATCCAATTCATCTGCCTGAATAGGGCTATCTAGATCAGCCATTCTCAACCAGGGTGCCCAGGCACCCTGGGGTGCCTTGAGGTAACTTGTATACAAGCCAGCGGGTGGAGCAAGCCTGTCATTTACTTATACAAAGCCACAGGTTTTCGTTGTGCACCATTACGACCTTCTAGCCGCTGGCATCCTGACAACCCATTGATGAGGATGGCAGCTGGCTGCACAGTATCCTAGTTTGACCCTCCCCTGCGCCTCTCCATCAGTACTGGGGTCACATTAGCTCAGTTATGGAGAAAAACTGAGGGAGAAGAGAAACACTGGAATACTAGTCAGTACCAGTGTGCAAAAATATATTTGCTTTGGAAGAATAAATCACCTGTAATGTTGAGTTTCCTACATGTGTGGCTGTTGCTGCGTTATATGAAACTATTAAAATAGTTTTTCACATTTTAGAATGGGGTGCCCTTTTAAAATGATGGACAGTCTTGAAGCACCCCATTTTAGCCCATGATCAGCAAGGTTTTGTTGAGCAGAGTGAACTGTAGCATTTAAAGGGTCAATTACATATTCCACCTTACTGATCCTCTGTTCTGCAGTGTTCATGCAAGTATGGATCTTCTGCATGTCATGTTTTAAAAAAGAGAGATCCATTTTGACCGAGTCTAGCGGTGTAGTTAAGGCAGCCTGACATGTTTGAATGGCATCCATAACATGCTTCAGAGTTAGATCAGTCTCAGCTGGGGGAGAAGTAGGGTGAGAGGTGTCATCATGTGTGGGCTGACTAAAGGAACAAGAAGCAGCATGTTCACTCTCCTCCACTTCTTCCCACTCCCCCTTCCCCCCCTGCAGGGTCCGCCATAGCAGGCTTAGGAGACACATGGGCAGCAGTCTTAAGGGGGGACAAAGGACCCTTAAAATGTTCCTTAATAGTGGTGGGGGATTTCTGCTTAGCAGAGGAGCCGCCGGAGGAGGATTTCATACCAGTCCTAAGGAAAGGAGAGTTGTCGACTTCTTAGACTTCTCCATCTGTGGCTGGGGGACAAGTGCTGCCGCATCTAGGAAGCTCCGGGGGGGAACCAGCTGGAGGCCGATCTCTGGGATGTATGGACATGTGTTGTCCAATTTTGACCATCCTGTCTGCTGCAGAGGGACAGTAGGAGTCTGCAGATGCCAAAACGGCCAGTCTCAGATCTGCTGTGCCAACAGGATTGGTGAAGAAAGGCAGCATTGCTGGAGGAGCAGAGAGAGAGCGCTGCTCACATGGACCCGTCTGGCCCATTTACATAAACTTTACCCTATTACGGTCCTCATACCATTTCTACCTATTCATTTTGTCATTATTTCTATTTTAATTCCCAGAATGAATCATTATGTATTTGTAAAAATTAATTTTTCTTTATTAAACTAACTTTCAGTTTAAAAAAAAAATAAAAATTTTTATAGCCATACTTTAAGTGCCTTGAAACCCTTCATCTGAAAAAATGCCTTATTTAATCTTTAGCCAAACCCTGGACAGAGAAAAGAAAGTATTGTCAGGTGTTTATTGCTGTCTGTGTCTCTACTGAGGAGATGTTATTACACTAACTGTAAGTCAAGTACATGTTTCGCTTGGTTTCTGAGACAGGAATCAAGGGAAAATCTCCCCACCAGGAAAACTAACAATATAACAAATCGTAGAATGTGAAAGGTTAGAACCTTTATTAGGTTTTTTCCTGTTAGTAGAAAAGTTTTGGCTGGAGTTTTATTTCAAATAGATTGGTATTGTACCCATACACAATGGGGTTTAGTTACTAAAGCTGAAGATAGCAAAATCAGGTTCACATATGCATAGAAACCAATCAGCTTCTAACCTCAGCTTGTTCTGTTAAGTTTTGGCAATACAACCTGGAATCTGATTGGTTTCTATGCAGAAGTGAGCCTGATTTTGCACGCTCCAGCTTTAGTAAATGAACCCCAATAAGTTATCACAGCATACCTATAACAACCCAGCTCACCCTATCGTCATCAGAGCTCTCCCAACTTCATATGCAAATACTGATTTTGTAAAAGTCTGTATCTGCAAAAACTTTAGGAACATTGCCAGTGTTCAGAGGTATGTAACTCATGAACCAGGTAATGGGGTTGTGAGAGGCAGGAAGGAGGTCTATTTTCTCCATATGGTGCTTGCAGTCTGCTACAGTCTTGGTTTAACATGTATTGCCATTCTACAGGTTTAGTTTGCCTGAGGCGTTGGTTTAAAAATATGGGTGCTCGTCATTTTGGAACCACATTTCAACAAATCATTGTACCACAAACCCTATAAGGTGTATCATACCAAAACGTAAAGATGTGAGAACTAATTTATTTGTTGTACTATATACCTGCTCTTGACTGAAGATGAACTATATGGAATAAAAGGTTTTATTTGCATCTGAAGGCCTCTGTATTGACCTTTTGGATTTCACTGAACTACATGTTTCAACAATTGTCTGGTAAACCTTTCCTTTGTTCTGGTGCTGTGTGTACACTAGGTATATTTTACTGTTCAGCAAAAAAGAACTTTCCTACATGCACTGCTTTACTCTTGAGGGTTTGTTTGATCTAAAATGTGTTAGACTAGGCAAGACGAAAGCTAAGAATTTCTAACATGTCAGACACATTTTGCACTTTTTAGTTAACAATGAAGACACCTGTGCAAAATGATTCAGTTATATTTTGTGATAAAGGTGTTGGATAGCTAAGTTGTGAATTAAACTATAACAAATGTACACCTTTACTGTTTAACCCTTTCGCTGTCAGGTGCGTAGGTTGCACGCACCTAACAGAGGGGGGTTTTACACATACTCCCAGTGTGTAAATCTGACACGCCGACTTCTGGCTGCCATATGAAAGCAGTCCACTGCCTCCAGCAGCACTGGATTGCTTTCATACACCCAGTAATGGGCCCTACCATGTATCCCGGGATCCACTTGCCCATCTGCGAGACCAGCATTGCGGGTGCCGTTGGGTAGGGTGGAGGGAGGTGAGTGGACACAAATCCGCTCTCCTCCCATTCTTGTTGTTGACCCGGAAGTTACCTGTAAAACATTATTCTGGGGTCCCCCTGTCAGTGTTCCCAAGCAGTATGGCCAGGAAAGAATGTAATGCAATCTGATGTGCTTTACATTCATTGAAGCACAGGGGAGACATCCAGAGTCTTTTTAGACCACAGATGACTCATTAAAGAGAACCTGTCACCAAAAATCATCACATAGGAGACTTTTTGCCCCCTTTGTGATGAAAAAAAGTTAAGTAAAAAATGTTTTTTTCAGTTGTAAAAGATTAACGTTTGAGGCCTCCCACATGCGAATGAAAACCAACACATTGGGCTCATACGCATGAAAATTACGCACGCTCAAGTGAGAGCAATATTTCCAGCACCAGACCTCCTCCGTAACACTAAATTGATGACCTATTGGGGGCTTATCACGTCACCTATAGAAAATATAGGGGACTGAATTTTGTCGCCATTTCACGGGTGTTCATAAATTTAAGGTTTGACATATTGGGTATCTATTTACTCCATTCAACCTCATATTTTATATTTTACAAAAAACTTGGGTAATTTTTTGCGAAAGTGTGCCTTAAAAATAATTTTTGTGTACTTTTTACTGAAATTTTGCATTTCCTAGACTTTTGCAGTAAGATCATGACATTGTGACATAAAAAATTGGACCTACCATTATTTTATTCTCTAGGGTGTCTGCTTTCAGAAAATATATAATGTTTTGGGGGTTTATGCAATCTTCAGGCCTAAAATGATTTTTTAAATGTGTGCAAAAAATGCAAAAATGGCTCTGGCAGCAAAAGGGTTAAATTAAGACCATTGGATTTCCTCCATAACGCCTACCTCTACTTCCCTATCTAATGCAACTAGTTTCAGTTAATAAATCCACATTTGGCATAATCAGTAGGAGCAGTGAGGGGAGCTGACTGCTAGAGTACAGTAACTGTACTTTGCTATACTGAACAAGAGAAAACAAAAATGTAAGAATAGTTTTCATACAAGCTATTAATCCTCCCTCACAACCTAACAGCATTTCACATAAGACTTCCATTATAAAAACAAAAACAACTAAAATAACTTCCATATAATATTGTGTGAAAGTCCAAACACCATATAAATGCCAGCAAATCGTATGGAAAACTGGTGTCGGTCAGGACACCTTCCTTGTGAGTGTTACCATGTTTGATTAAATGTAATTGGTTTTAAACTTGCTGCACCATCATGTCCTTTCTTTGTTTCTGAGTGCGGTTCCAATTTATATGGAGAAACGATGGTTATATGAAAGGGTCCATCTATGCTGAACGATTGGCTGCAGAGTATTGCTCCTAAAGTCTGGAAATTGCCTACAACTACAGAGTATTGCTTCTAGAGTCTGGATATTCCCTACATTCATCGCTCCCAGAGCAATAGTGCTTATGCTGATTTATAATTTGATCAGCATATAGCTCTGGTGAGTTCATCTAATTTATCTGGTGGTGGATTTATCACGGTGTTATGATTTCCACATGATTTGCTGGCATTTATATGGTGTTTGGACTTTCACACAATATTATATGGACACTTTTTTTTTTTGTTATTTTTATTTAAATTATTAGCGCATTCCTATATTTATTTAATATTCATACCATTTTTAGGTTTGCTGCTATTTTGATTTAATTATTGATTATTTATATATTATTTTGGTTTTGGCGCTTTTCTGATTATCCTACTAAAATAACTTCCAAAAGAATTCTGTAGGCACCATAAATCTTCAGAACTTGTTGCATTGTCACTCCAATTTGTGTATACTGTATCTATACTTGCCACAGTTTGTTCTTGGGAAGTTTTATATCTTTTATGCTGAACTCACTTTAACTACAACTGTTGGTTTATCTTGGGAGTTGCAAGGATAATTATTATTCTTCTGATGGTGTATAATAAACAAAAAAAATGTAATCATGCTACGTTTTATACTTACCATAAATGCAGGAACAACTGGCTGCGTAAATTTTGTTTTAAAACTATAAAGTAATTGCTTTGTGTCAGAATTATAAAATGAAAGTTGACCTGTGAAGAGAAAAATAATTACTGATGTAAACAGCATAAATCCACTGAACAATAAATATAACAAAACCAATTTAAAGACCATGAGAGGTAATAAAATAAAAAATGTTGCAGATTGGAAATAACTGCTTTGCAATAACAGGCAATAATACAGTGAAATTGTGAAAAGTAATACTGGTGTGAAATAAATCCAATTTAAGTTCTAGTCCTGGTTTTATAGTTTTTAATAAAAAAACATAAGAAATAAAAACAAAAGTTTATATTAGCAAACAATATTAGAACAGTATTGGCAAAGCAAGAGTAATATATAGTTTGCTCTTTCCTGAAATGGAACTCCAGGTGAAGAACTAAATACACAGTTAAAATACATGTTTACTGTTTTAATTACCACTGGACTTATTAATTTTGTCTTCCCATTCTTGTGATATGTACACCTCTGCTAGTCAGTAAGGGCGCTACTAGGTGCTACGTCCTGGTTTAACATTGCTGAATATTGGGTCAGCTGCTTGTTGACTACACAGAGATGATTATACTGATTCACAGTTTAATGCCCAATGAAGAGGAGAAGAGGTGACATAGGTACACTGCTGAACCAGAAGGATGACTTGCTTGATCAGGAACTACATGTTGTGTGGAAATGTATGGAAATCACAGTATTGGCTGTATCGAATTACAAATTCTTTGAAAATTTATTTTTGCTATGCTTTTAGGTGCTTGCCTGGAGTTTTGCTTTAATAGTTTTGTGTAATTACACTGCTCAAAAAAATTTAAGGAACACTTTGAAAACACATCAGATCTCAATGGGGAAAAATATCATGGTGGATATCTATACAGATATGGACTGAGTAATGTGTTAGGAACGTAAGGGAGCCCCATCGTTTGAAGGAAATGAAAATGATCAACCTACAGAGGACTGAATTCTGACACCTCGAAAATCAAAGTGAAATATGATGTAGCAGGCTTGTCCATTTTGCTGAAATTTCATTGCAGCAACTCAGAATGGTACTCAGTAGTCTGTATGGCCCCCACATGCTTGCATACATGCCTGACAACGTCGGGGTATGCGCCTAATGAGACGACAGATGGTGTCCTGGGGTATTTCCTCCCAGAACTTGACCAGGGCATCACTGAGCTCCTGGACAGTCTGAGGTGCAACCTGGCATCATCGGATGGACTGAAACATGATATCCCAGAGGTGTTCTATTGGATTTAGGTCAGGCGAGTGTGGGGGTCATTCAATGATATCAATTCCTTCATACTCTCGCCACATGAGGCCAGACATTGTCATGCACCAAGAGCAATCCAAGACCCACTGCACCAGTGTAAGGTCTGACAATGGGTCCAAGGATGTCATCCCGATACCTAATGGCAATCAGGGTGCCATGGTCCAGCCTGTAGAGACTGTGAGTCCCTCCATGGGTATGCCTCCCCAGACCATCACTGATCCACCACCATAACGGTCATGCTGAACAATGTTACAGGCAGCATAACATTCTCCACGGCTTCTCCAGTCCCTTTCATGTCTGTCACATGTGCTCAGGGTGAACCTGCTCTCATCGGGAAGCACAGTGTCTAAATGGTTAGCACTTCCGCCCGGCAGTACTAGGGTCGTTGGTTCAAATCCCAGGCATGACACCACCTGCCTGGAGTTTGCATGTTCTCCCTGTGCCTGCGTGATTTTCCTCCGGGTACTCTGGTTTCCTCCCACACTCCAAAGACATGATGGTAGGTTAATTGGCTCCAGTTTAAATTGGCCCTAGTATGTGTATGTATGAATGTAAGTAAGGGACCTTAGATTGTACGCCCCTTGAAGATTAGGGACTGATGTGAATGTACAATATGTAAAGCGCTGCGTAAATTGATGGCGCTATATAAGTTCCTCAAAATAAATAAATAAATCTGTGAAAAGCATAGTGAGCTGTATGGGCCCACTACAGGACATCAGGCCCTCAGGCCACTCTCATAAAGTCTGACCAAACAATCAGAAACAGAGACATTCGCACCAGTGGCCTGCTGGAGGTCATTTTGTAGGGCTTTGGCAGTGCGCATACTGTTCCACCTTGCACAATGGAGCAGATACCGGTCCTGCTGATGGGTTAACGACCTTCTATGGCCCTGTCCAGCTCTCCTAGAGTTACTGCCTGTCTCCTGGAATCTCCTCCATGCTCTTGAGATTGTGCTGGGAGACACAGCAAACCTTCTGGCAATGGCACGTATTGATGTACCATCCTGGAGGAGTTGGACTGCCTGTGCAACCTCTGTAGGGTCTAGGTATCGCCTCATGCTACCAGTAGTGACACTGGCCCTAGCCAAATGCAAAACTAGTGAAAAACAGTCAGAGAAGATGAGTAGAGAAAAAAAATGTCAGTGGCCTCCACCTGTAAACCATTCCTGTTTGGGGGTCATCTCATTGTCATCTAGTGCACCTGTTGTTGAATTTATTAACACCAAAGCAGCTGAAACTGACTTACAACCCCCTCTGCTACGTAAATGACCAGATCAATATCTCAGGAGTTTAATTGAGTTAATGCTATACTCACTAACTTGTTTTGTTAATAACCTAATTCTGATAAATGGCTGTACAATACTCACTCCTTCGACCTTGCTACCTCTGAAGAGGTCACTAAGGTCTTCTCCGAAGCCCGCCTCACCACCTGCTCCCTTGACCCTGTCCCCACACAACTCCTACGGTCACCCTCCTCCTCCATCCTACGCTCCCTCACCCACATCTTCAATCTCTCCCTCTCTACTAGCGCATTCCCCTCCCCCCAAAGCGCGCGCACATCACCCCCATACTCAAAAAACCCTCCCTGGACCCCACCAACCTGAACAACCTTAGATCCATCTCCTTGCTGCCATTTACATCCAAACTCCTCGAGCGCTTAGTCTAAAATCGCCTAAGCTCCCACCTCAACGACAACAACCTCCTTGATCCCCTACAGTCTGGTTTCCGTCCCCTACACTCCACCGAAACCACCCTACTCAAACTCACCAACGACCTGCTAACCGCCAAAGCTAATGGCCACTACTCAGTCCTCCTACTCCTCGACCTCTCCGCGGCCTTCGACACAGTTGACCACCCCCTCCTCCTTAAAAAACTACACTCCCTCGGCATCAGAGACTCGGCTCTCCTCCTATCTGTCCCAGTGCTCCTTCAACGTTACCTATAACGCTGCCACCTCCCCCTCTCTGCTGGGGTCCCCCAAGGCTCTGTTCTCGGACCCCTTCTCTTCTCCATCTACACCTCTTCCCTTGGCCAATTGATACACTCCCACGGCTTCAACTACCACCTCTACGCCGATGAAACGCAAATCTACATCTCTACCCCTCGCCTCACCTCTTCAGTCTCCGCCCGAATCACCTGCCTACTGAACGACATATCAGACTAGATGTCACTCCACTTCCTCAAATTAAACCTTTCCAAAACTGAGCTCCTAGTTTTCCCCCCAGCCCGTGCCCCCCCCCCCCCCCCCCCCCCCCCCAACCTCTCCATCGCGACCAATAACGCCACCATCAGTCCCACCCTGCAAGCCAAAGTTCTAGGTGTCACTTCAGACTCCAATCTATCCTTCCAGCCCCATATCCAATCGCTGGCAAATTCATGCAGGCTCCACCTCCGCAACATTTCCAAAATACGCTCGTTCCTAACCCCAGACACTACTAAACAACTCATTCACTCCCTTATTATCTCACAACTCGACTACTGCAACTCCCTCCTCACCGGCCTACCTCAACACAGACTCTCCACGCTTCAGTCTATCCTGAACTCAGCAGGCCAGACTCATCCACCTTACCAACTGCTCCGTATCCGCCACCCCCCTCTGTCATTCCCTCCACTGGCTTCTGATTGCCCAACGTATAAAATTCAAACTACTAACACTGATGTACAAAGCTATTCATAATACTGCCCCAAACTACCTCACCGACCTGATATCCAAATACCACACAACACGTACTCTTCGCTCCTCACAAGACCTCCTACTCTCCAGTTCCCTGGTCTCCTCCTCCCATGCTTGACTCCAGGACTTCTCCAGGTCTTCCCCCATCCACTGGAACTCACTACCCCAATCCATCAGACTGTCATCTACCCTCCTCACCTTTAGGCGCACCCTGAAAACCCATCTCTTCAGGGAAACCTACCCCGCCCTCACTTAACAGTCGATCTCCTCCTACCACTCCATCCCCCACAGCCATTTCCTCCTGTACCACTATCCCCTCCCTCCTAGATTGTATGCTCCAAGGAGCAGGGCCCTCGAACCCTTTGTGTATTGTATTGTATCTGTATTGTCTCATGTACTGTCCCCCACTATAATGTACAGCACTGAGCAAACTTTGTGGCGCTATATAAATACTGTATAATAATACAATATACAATATGTACTGGAAAGGCCACTAGTGATCTTTTTTGTTTATATCTACATCCTTTTGGTCACTAAGCCTTGCATGAAACTGTATTCACAGTGAAGAACTTGAGAGCCAATGACACATTCTGACTTTACTCAGAAATGTTTTTGTGCAGTGACTCAGACTTAGTTAAATTCCATGTAAACCTGAAAAAAACATGTTTATATTGCAGCTTAGTCCTTAGATGTGTTAGCTGCATTATGTTTCTTTTCATCAGGCTTTTCCCCCCGATTTTTTTTTTTTAATTTAAATATTTTATTGTTTTTCAAATCAACATATTAACTGTACAAAAGCTACAAAAACAGACACTATACATTACACATTTCTGTCATAACACTCCCCAAAAATAACCTTACTCTGTGACCTTTTTCTCCTCCCCTTGCTTATCCCCCCTCCCCTTTGATTACGCATTTTTAAATTAATTCTACTTGAGGTGATTGTAGCCATATTAGTGCACTTACGACAGAAACAATTCAGTACTGTCCGTGATACTTTATTTGCACTAACATACAATTTTGAGGACAAGCTTTCGGGGTATGTCCCCTTCTTCAAGGTCCTCTGTGAGTGCTGCTCCCCCCCCCCCGTCTTTGCTTTGCTGT